AGAGGCCGGGCAGCTTTCGAGTTCTCGCCCCAGGCTGTCAAAATTAAAAAAGTGGGAACTTCTTGTATTAGACTATCATTAAAAAAAATTCCTCCCAGGCTTTCAAGGCAGTGTCCCCTACTCCATTTGTATCCTCCCAACAGCCCCGTGAGGTAGGTTAGGCAGGGAGTGCTTACAGCCGGCCCTGGATTCCTATTTATTTATATTTCTTTTTTTAAAATTGCAGCTGTGTTTTTACCTGTGGTGGCTCAAGTGGTTAAGACGCTGAACTGCAGGCTGTGGAAGGTCAGTGGTTAAGCAGTTCAAGACCCGAGTTGCCACATGACGGAGTGAGGTTCCGTCTCTAGTTCCAGCTCCTGCCAACCTAGCAGTTCGAAAGCAAGAAATTGCAAGTAGATAAATAGGTACCACTTCGGTGGGAAGGGAACAGCGTTCCGTGCGCCTTGGTGTTTAGTCATGCCGGCCACATGATCACGGAAACGTCTTCAGACAGCGCTGGCTTTTCAGCTTCGAAACGGAGATGAGCACCGCAACCCTAGAGTCGGACTCGACTGGCTTTCGAGCAAGGGAACCTTTACTTTACTTTTTACCTGTTAAATAGTGGGTTCCGTGAATGAGCAGGCTCCAGTCTAGTGATCAGCTCAACTTTTCTTTGTGATTTCAGCAAGAGCAAGACAAGACCTCGGAGCCGCAGCTCTGTTAAATGGCATGCAATGGCCACACCCAGACACACCTCACTCCCAGTGATAGGCTATTTACGTAACATTAACTACTTGAATATGTTGTTGAAGGCTACCATTTTTCTTCTCACCTTGACACAGAGAGTACTCCATCTTTCTGTGTTATACCTCTGAGGATGTCAGTCAGAGTTACTGGCGAAACATCAGGTTCTACAATCCCATGGCCATGCAGCCCGGAGCAACTACAGCAACTAAGTAACTCTGGTTACTTCCAGAGTCCTGGTAGGCTATTGTTCTTGTGCTCCAAGCTTAGCCAGTCTCTGGTGTGACATACCTGGAATGCTTCAGTCCCAATACATAACACTACCCAACTTTCCACTGAATGTGGCAAACAATAAAAACATTAAAAAGCAAGATGGGGGGGGGAACACACACATATAACTATATAAAAACAATGCTAGAAACCCACATGAATCCGAGAAGGCAGCTCAGACAAAACAAATGGCTGCCCGCCAAGCAGAAGACCATGAGAGAAGGGGGAAGAGGAATCTCCTTAGGGAGGGGAGTCAACACGGTTGGTGCCACAACTGAGAAGGGCCCTCCTTGGCTGGCCCCCCATCCAACCCCTCAGATGGGGTGGGCACTCACCACAGCAGGGCCTCCAGAGGTGGCCGCCGCCGACCAGAGTGGTCAGGGATGGTTATATGGGAAGAGACACGCTGGCCCCAAGCTGCAGAGCAGGCTTGAAGCAAACTGGGAGCCAGGTAGGTGCAACAAGACCGGAGTGATCATGTCTGCAGGACCGACCCCCTCTGGCCAGAACTCCAGCCACAGCTTCTTGTTGTTCAGTGGCACAGTGGAGTCTGACTCTTCGCGACCCCGTCACACCAGGCCCTCCTGTCTTCCACCATCCTCTGAAGTTGGCTCAACTTCATGTTCATTGCATCTATGACACTGTCTAACCATCTCATCCTTTGCCGTCCCTGTCTTCTTTGACCTTCAATCTTTCCCAGCATCAGGGTCTTCTCCAGGGAGGGCTCCCTTCCCATTGGGTGGCCAAAGTATTTGAGCTTCAGTTTCATTATCTGGCCTTCCAGGGAACAGTCAGGGTTGATTTTCTTTTAGGATTGACTGATTTGATCTCCTTGCAGTCCAAGGGACTCTCAAGAGTCTTCTCCAGCACCATCGTTCAAAAGCATCTATTCTTTGGCGCTCGGCCTTCCTTATAGTCTAACTCTCGCAGCCATACATGACTACTGGGAATACCATCGCTTTGACTTCAGGAAATTTTGTGGGCAGGGTGATGTCTCTACTTTTTATCATGCTGTCTAGGTTCGCCATCACTTTCCTCCCAAGGCGCAGGCGTCTTTTAATTTAATGGCTGCTGTCACAGTCTGCGGTGATCTTGGGTCCCTGTCACTGCTTCCACAGCTTCCCCTTTCTATGTGCCAAGGAGTGATGTGGCCGGATGCCACGATCATAGTTTTTTTTGACGTTGAGTTTCAAGCCAACTGTTGTGCTCTCCTCTTTCACTCTTTGCAAGAGGCTCTTTAGGTCCTCTGTTCTTTCGGCCAGCCCCAGCGTTCCCTACCAGTTGGAGCTTCTGGATGCTCCTCCAGAGCAGCCCCGCCTACAGTGCTGTCTAATCCAGCGGTTACCAGGGCCTGCAGGTGCCCCTGGCCAGATGCCAGCAGCTTTTCCAGCAGGAGGCCGGGGTCCCGCAGCATCCCCCAAGCGACACAAACCCGCTCCCTCCTTTTGGCGGAAGCGGCCCTTTTTGAGGAGACACACGAGGAATAAAATGCCTCCCTCAGCTGTAGCGGCTCCGCTCCTTCCAAAGGGGCCACACAAAAGGGGCCAGGAGCGCATTTGCTACACTGGGACAGCACCACACCCACCACACACCCACACACACACACACACACACACACACACACTGAATAATCCACTTTCAATGCACTTTCGAACTGGATTTTGCCAGTTCGCACAGTAAAAATCCAGTTGGAAAGTGCACTGGAAGTGGATTATTTAGTGTGTGTGTGTGACCACCGCAGCCTCAGTTGTGCCCTGGTTGGACAGCGGCCCTCCCTCGCTCCAGAGTTGTTGCACCGCAGGCGCACTTCGGGCTGGCTCCGGCGCTGCAGGCCTGTGAAGGAGAAGCGGGTCGGGCGCGGGGTTGTGCCGCAAGGAGCGGCGGGGCGACCGGCGGCGGCAGGGGCGAGAGAAAGGGAGGCTCCGCTGGATCGCGACTCAGCAGCACCTGCGGATGCTGCTCTGTCCCGAGGAGGAAGAGCCTGCTTCCCTTCGGCGCATCGTACTGCGCCGGGCCGGCCGGTTGCAGCGCGCCGCAGAGGTGAGCCGCCCGCCGCGGCGCCCGGGCGCGTTGCCCTTTTAAGAACTGCCCACCTCCCAGGGAGGGGCCAGGGAACTTTTCCCGTCTCGCGACATTCCTCCCCCCTTTCCCGCGTGCTCCTCCCCGCTCTGCCTTTGCCCTGCCCGGCGGGCGCCGGCTCCTACGGCGCCCTCTGCCCCTCCGCCGCCCGGGCCCTGCCGCCCTCCCCGCCGCCCCCGGCCAGGATGCCGCCGCCGCTGCCGCCGCCTCGGCCCTGAGAGCGCGCGGGGAAGGGGCTGCCCGGAGGCGAAGCGCGGAGGCCCCCGGCGGGGGGACCTTCCCCGGCCGGGGCGGGGAGCCAAGCGGTCAGTGGCCCGGGGACTGGTGCTGCGCGGCTCTGGGGCCTGCGGCTAGGAGGGGCCTCCAAGCAAGGGGAGGGAGCGAGGGGACGGCCAAGATCGCTGGGCTCGGGGTCGCCGGCGTGTGGCTTGGCTCGCTTGCTGGAGCTAGTCGTTTCCTCTGCTTGTGGCCCAGTAGGGTCTGAATCAGGCATGTGGGGGGCTGGAGAGGCTGGGCAGGGGCCTTCCTTTTCTTTTTCCAGCCCCCACCCCATTAAATACGAAGGTATCAGGACATTTCTGAGGGCAGCGGGTCCTAACCATGATGCACCCAGCATCTGCCTTCCCAGAGCATCCTCAGGAGGAGGTTGAAAGCCAGGCAGGTGTAGCCGATACCCACATCCTTGCCTGAGTTTTTGAGCAGCTAGACTACCCGGGGAGGACCTGGGTTTGGCAGCAAGCCCTGTAATGGAGTGTAGACTAGATATGGAGCGGTGGAGGAAAAAACATGGCCAAAAAGTTCTGTCTCTGTCTCTCCCCCCCCCCCCGACACTAGGAAATGGGCCACAAGGACCCCATTCCGGTAGCAAACAGGACCAATCTGTATGCTGGTGCTGGACACCCCCCCTCCCAGCCACACTTGGATGGTTTGGGGTTCCCAGCATTTATGCCCCCAAAGCTTGTAAAAGCAAAAACCTGGGAAGGGGGAGGGTTGGAAGCATGAAGGAGAACCGGCTTGTCAGTGGTTATTTTTAGAAGCGTGACCCGTTCCTGGCGTTGGACAGGAATACACAGAAACATCCCTGAACTGTGCTGGAGCTGGAAGATACAGACTGACTCTGTGGAGGACAGGCTGTGTGACAGCCCCCTTCTGGGGTTATACAATGGGGGGAAATGATCTTGCTCCTTGGGCTAATGAAGGTGGATGCTGGAGTGTGCAAAACTTTTGCACGGCACAGAACTCTTCATCTGGCACAGTCTTCTTGAGCCTAGTGGGACCCTGTGTCTGAGGAAGAGGCAGTGTGTTTACCTGGCACGGGTCACAGACACTTCCCACACCTCCCTTGGCTGCCAGGAGGGCCACGGGGACGGCCGTATTCTGAGGGAGAAGGCGCGTGGTGGTGGGAGGAAGGAAGAAAGAGGGTCAGTGGTGTGTTGGAGACAGATCGGGATGGGTGGCCACGTCCTTCTGTCCGTCAGTAGCAGAAGAAAAGGGCCCGAGTCCAGGAGCACCCTAAAGACGAACACAATTGCTGGCAGAGGAGGAGCTTTCGTGAGTCACGGCTCCCCTTTTCAGACCTGAAGAAGTGATCCAGTGACTCACGCAGGCTCCTCCCCTCCCACGGATTTTGTTCGCCTCTCGGGTGCTCCTGGACTCAGGCTCTTTCACAAGGGTGTATTGGGGCTCTCGGGTGACCTTCAGTTTTTCCTGTCCCTCGATGTTCTCTTCCTTGCCTTACAAGCCGTCTTTCTTTGGCGTTTTGGTTGCAGCAGAAGGGGACGGCTTCCAGAGCCCGGTGTCCAGAGATGGCTTTCCCTCCTCACCCCACCGCAGGCTAATGTGTTCAGAGGGCATCCTGTCGAGGTCCAGTCTGCAGCTGGGGAACAGCTGCCATTTGGGAGAAAGGTGAGAGGAGCCGCTGGGGTGACGTCAGATCTTCTCTCAGTCCTGGGAAAGGCCCTTAAGAGCCATTCGTGTGTCTCCGGGTTGTGTCAGGAGGCTATCTGGTGATTCTCCGATTGGTGCTTCATTTCTGGGCTGGTTCGTTTATGCAGCCCACCTTTGCCTTTCTTTGTGAGACTCAGAGTGGATTACCCGGCGTAAATCGATACAGCCCATATGATGAGACACCTGACAAATAATGTCCCAGGACAGGGATTAGAAAAACCTGCATGAGCACAGCATCTATCATATGAACAACACAGGAGGCTTTGAATAACAACACACGGGTTAAGCAGGGTTCTCACTGGCGCAGTTTTACACAAGAGGTTAGGATACAAAACAGTCATTACACACACAAAAGCACACACTTTTAATCTTGGGTCTGATTCCCCACACCTCCTCCACAGGAAGCCTTGGGCCGGTCGCGGTTCTCTCCGAACTCTCTCAACCCCACTGACCTCACGAGGCACCTGTTGTGGGGAGAGGGAGGGAAGGCGATTGTAAGCCACTTTGAGACTCCTTAAGGTGGAGAAAAGCACGGTGTGAAAACCCACTCTTCTTCGTCTTCCTCTTTTCAGCTTGGCCTCTTGGGCTCACTGGCTCCAGTGGCCTGCGGTCAGTTCCTGCAGGGTGGGCGAGGCGGGGGGAGGGAAAGGCAGTCTTTGGGGCAGGGGATCCTGAGCATGAGCCCTCTGCTTGTGGGGCCTGGCTAATGGGGCAGAGCTGACCTCTTCCCACCCCAGCCCCCAAGCCATTGCTGACCCCTGGGGGAGAGTCCCCAGAGTCACGACTCTGCTTTTGCAGAGCTGGGAGAGCCTCCGCCCACGGCCCCCGACAAGCAGTGGCTGTTGAGTGTTCGTGATGAGCTGGCAGTCTTCTCTTTGGGGGTTTTCCCTCTTGCTGGGGTGTGTGTGTGTGTGTGTGTGTGTGATCCTGTCCTGTTTCCATGGACCGTCCTGATCCCTTCCCTTGTGACCTGCTCGCTGAGGGACAGGCAGCTGATCAAATATCTCCTGCTTTGCACGAAGGCCTTGGTGACCTCCCCCCCCCCCCCCCCCCAAAAGATTTGTGGGGGGGGGGGGGGGGGAGCTTGCTCCCTGCTCCCTCCTCGCCTTCCTCTCCTGTTGGTTCTGCAGGCCGGGAGTTTGTTTTGCACGCTGCTACTGCCGCTGGGTCTGAGTTGCTCAATGCAGGGAGGGAGAAGCCCTGCTCAGGGATTGGGCCGCTGCTAGTGGGACAGGGAGCTCTTCGAGGCTGGCCAACCTGCCTGCCGGGTCCTGCCGCCTGCCTGCCCACTCCGCCAGGCAGGTCTTGGTGGGATCCGTGGCTTCGCTGGACAAGCCCTTCCCCTCCCTCTTTGGCCTCCTCGCCTGGCAGTCCCAAAGCTTCCTTTGTTGCTCCCTTCCTGCCAACGCCTGGCCCGGCCGCAGCTCTTTCTGCCTCTGGGCCCTCTCTGCGAGGTGCTCTCTGCGGCCTGTTCTTTCTTCTCCTGTAGGCCGCCTCGGTGCCCCCCCTCCCCCCCATCTGTTCTGCCTTCCTGCTTCTGGTCGCTTTGCATTCAAGGCCGCTCTGGTGCCTTCCCGGGCCTCAGCTTCCATGAAGGCGTCACGTCAGGACCTGGTCTTGTCGCAGCAACTTTGGGCTATTCTAGAAGTTGCTGTTCTCTGGCAAAAGAACATCCAGAGGGTGAACCTGTCAAAAGTTAGAATCCATTGGGAACTTTGATATCCTCTCCCAAGGACGTGACAAAGACCTGGGACTCCGTGGCCATTACGGGGGTTGGTCTGGTTAGCGAAACTTGGGAGGTCGCAATGTCACCATGAAATTTTCCTTTTCTTGATTGCATTCGGACTTTACAGAATCACCTCCCCCCCCCCCCGGTCTTCCTTCCCCTCCTTGTGCTCCTTCCCCCTCCTTCCTCATTTTGTATTCGGAGGTCTGAGGCTCCAGTCCAGAGCGAGTTCTGCCAGAGTGAAATCTGGATGGTTTTCAAGGCTCCTGCTCCTTTTGTTGTGGCACGTCCTCCTGTGGGACTGCGACCTCCGTTCCTGGCACGGGGCACCGGATCAGGCCCCCGGGGGATGGTGGCAGGTGGGGCTTCGTGCAGTTGGCTGGTGGGCTGTGTTGGCCACCCTTGCGAGGGAAAG